GTATATATATATATATATATATATATATATATATATATATATATATATATATATATATATATATATTTTAAATACAATTTGATAAATATCATAATATTTGTTTATAATAGTTAAAGAAAAAAGTAAATAATTCAAAGATGTGAACCAATGATTTCAAAATGAAATTAATATACAGTTACAAATAAATATAGCATGATTAGATTTACTTTAATTAGTTTTAATTTTCTTAATGAAATAACTTTTATTTTTCAGTTTTTTGTTAGAGACTAATGGAGTGTTTGGGTTGTTGGAAAATATTTTAGAACTAAAAATACTTACTAATAAAAAATAATTTTAAAATATTTTTAATCCCTAAACATGAAAAAATTTTACATTAAAAAAAAATACAATTTGATAAATATTATAAATTAATTATTGCAATATCATTTATGTTTACAACGAGAATAATTAAAGAAAAAATAAATAAATCAAATATGTGAAACAATGATTTCAAAATGAAATTAATATAACATGATTAGATAAAGTGACTAATGACCCTCTTTTGGGTGAAAGGGCTGGCTTTGAGATTTAAAGTTGCTCCATTCCCAACGGCAATGATCAAATCCTTGCCTTTGGTTAATAAGGATGAACGCGTTCCTTCCACTCAACCACACCCTCCAAGTTCTTAGTGAAATGACTTTAATAAAAGTAAAATCCTCCTTTACAACAACCCAACCCAAATTAATATGAATATTAATTAATTAATAAAAAATAATAAAGCTTAATTGGTAACAAAATTTTATATGAAAATTAACTAATATCTAATGAATTGTTACCACAGATTAAAGTCAATATGTATATAAAAATGAAAAATGGTTACCAAATTATGAGAATAATTAAATTATTATAATTATAAAAATAATGGATACAAATTCTGCGTAACAAATGAGAAAATTTGTTTGAAATTTTGCGTAATTTTATAAACAAATAATAATTTATTAATTATTATTTACACCAATTTATACTATTAATAAAAGTAAAATTCTCATCTTCAACATTCCCGCCCAAATGAATATGAATATTAATTAATTGGTAAAAAAATTTAATAAAGCTTAATTGGTAACAAAATTTTATATGAAAATTAACTAATATCTAATGAATTTTTATCACACATTGAAGTCAATGTGTACTTAAAAATGGATGATGGTTATCAAATGCTGAGAATAATTAAACCATAATAATTGTGAGAATAATGGAAACAAATTCTGCGTAATAAATGAGAAAATCCATTTGAAATTCTATGTAATTTTATAAGGAAATAATAATTTATTAATTATTATTTACACCAATCTATATTTATACTATTAATAAAAGTAAAATCTTCAATTAAAATGTCTTTCGCCCTTCTGATACGAGATTGTCATTCAAGTTCTAATGAAAATAATTCACGTTGATGCTCGCATATGCCATGACTATCAACAAAAGTCATGGTCAAACACTAACTCACGTTGAGTTATTACTAAAAAAACCCGTCTTTAATCACGGTTAATTGTATGTGAATTTTTCCCGAGTCATCCATCCTGATGGTCTGATGGTTTTAACTCTAGATGAGGATGGATAAAATTCCGTTACTACTACCAATGTTGTCTACAAAGAGATTTTCGATAATGTATAATTCAAGTTATTGATATTATGGTTTTTTATATACAAAAATGACAAAATTGCTATATGTCTACATAGAAAATATATCTTCCTTATAAATAATTTCTATAACTGAGTTGCTAGACAACGAGCTAATTAGTCCAATTAGTACAAATTCTAAACACTGATATATAAAATCTCTAAAGTTGCAGCACCGAATGCGTATATGTACACGTTAACTATTAATTGGGCAATTATTTACTCGAATTCAAGTATTGATAACATCAGAAAACATAATCGGTGCAACTCAATTTTTCAATTATATTATATAATATTCGATGTTATAATTTATATAATTGTATATCGATCTAAATATTTTTAAAATATTATAACAAATTCATTCCGTGCAACGCACGGGCGCAAATACTATTATATTTGGAATGTCCCACCATTTTATTACTGCCGCGTACCAAACTAAGCAGCATGCATATATGGTAAGACTTAGCAATTGAAGCACACAACTGCAGAACTCATCCACAACTTAAACTGATGATGAATGCATCATATCATAATTCACAATTAATCATTTTAATTAACACTCAAAAAGTAATATTAAAATGTCCATAAAAATATCTAAACTTTAATTTTGTCACACTTTTTCATTTGTCGGATGACCATAACGGCAACAAGCTAACTAAGTTAACGATCTATATAACCGCAACTGCAGAACAACTTTAACATACACTAGCTTGTTTTTTTGAAAGCAATTTAACACTAGCTTGATTTGGGGATTGTTACCCGTAGACGACGAATTATTTTGTGGACTGAGTCCACCTTTCAAGGTGGACACGAGTTTAAAATTCACAATTTACATATTGAATGTTCACAATTTACATGCTGAATGTTCACAATTTTAAATATGGAATAAAGGTCAAATAGGCCATTGAACTACACACTAAAATACAATTAGGCCATCCAACTCAAAAAAGTAACAATTAGGTCCCTGAACATGATAAATTAAAGCAATTGAACCCAAAGTGACTTGTTGACCAGGTAATTAGATGACATGGCGGTTACCAAATTTTATTTTTAAAAAAAATATTTTAATAATTTTTAAATAAAAAACTTCAAAAAATATATATATATATATATATAGCTTGCTCGAGTCAACGGTAGAAATTTTCGTCGATGATGGTTTTCTCCTTAATCTCCGGCGAAGAAGTGGAATCGAGTAGGATGACGAGCAGCGGAACGACTCCTTTCGACACAGCGATCAACACGCTCTTATCGTCTTCCTTCAAGAGTCCGAGGAGTGAGTCGAGCACCGTGTTCTTCGACTCAGTGGTCCCGATCTGGAGCCGAGTGATCAGAATCGTCGTCTCCGCCCTAATCGTCTCCCTCTTTGAATAACTACTCGACAAAACGACGCCGTTTTCGCAGAGAACACCGCTCTTGATAAGAACCTCGAGGTCCCTGTTAAGGCTATCAATTTTTGCAGGCAAGGAGTCGATCTCGTTCTGCGTCTTGAGCTTCCCGTCGGGAGGGTTGGGGTTGTGGCAGCGAACTGAAGAGACATCCCGTCGGAAATGGCGGCGGAGAGTGACCGGAGAAAGTCCGCCGAGAGAGGGTTGTCATTCGCGGCGGACAGAGAGGTGAGTCTGAAGAGCTGAGAGCTTTGTTCTGATCAAAGACCATTTTCCCATCAAGCTTTGGGTTTGAGTAATGGAATCAAGGAGGGACAGTAGTCACAGTACTACTTTAGTGCTTGAAAGAATTCTAAATGGTCTTCGTGACTCTTCGGAGACGAAAACAGGTCCACGAAGGAGGGGAAGGGGTGGCCAGAGATTTTTTCTTTCTTTCTTTAAATTTAAAATAATTAAAATATCTTTTTCAAAAAATTAACTTGTTTACCGCCATGTCATCTAATTATCAGGTCAACAGGTCACTTTGGGTTCAATTGTTTTAATTTGCCCTGTTCAAGGACCTAATTGTAGCTTTTTTGAGTTGGATGGCCTAATTGTATTTTAGTGTGTAGTTCAATGGCCTGTTTGACCCTTATTCCTTTAAATATTAAATGTTCACAATTTATATGCTGAATGTTCACAATTTACATATTGAATGTTCACGATTTTATATACTAAATATTCACAATTTACATATTAAATGTTCATGATGTTATATATTAAATATTCACAATTTGATCCTAACAAGTGACATCATAATTCAAATATCATCGACAAGGAATAACCATAATGTTACAAGTTCGATTGATCCTTTGCCAACGACTAGTATCATAAGTGCGCTTAAAGACAAAAAAAAAAAAAACTAATGACAACAAATAAATAAAACCGTTATCTTTTTTTTTTTTAAATCACAAATAGACCGATTTTACAAAATCGTTATCTTTGAAGTATTGTGTATTCAAAGTGCTCTTAAAGACAATACACCAGCGACAACGGATAAATAAAACCGTTGTCTTTAGAAAAAAAAAAAGGGGGGGGGGGGGGGGGGGGGGGGGGGGGCTCAAAGACTTTGAACGATTGTGTATTCAACGTGTGCTTAAAGACAACGGATAAATAAAGTTGTTGTCTTTGATTCAATACTTTTGTTAAAGTAGACAACTGTTTTTACCAAATCGTTGTTTGTTTATTTATTTATTTATTTATTTTACAAAATAGTCATAGACAACACACTAAAGAAACCAATTTGGTAAAAACCGTTGTCTAATTTAACAAAAGTGTTGAATCGAAGACAACAGTTTTGAATAAAATTGTTGTCTTTTCCATAAAAGACAACATTTTTATCAAAAATCGTTGTCTTTGTACATTTTTCCTGTAACCTTAAATAGTTGCAGACCATTAATACAAGGGTTCCTATTATTTTACTATTTGCATCAATATAATAGGTTTTATCTTCCCATGAAAGGGACAATATTTGAAATTGTTAATGTTAAACACCTTTTTATTATTTCTCATGTGTTTGTAATGATTAGACTAAGTATCTTTTATTAGTTCTCTATGTTTGGAATGGCTAGGCTAAGCATCTCTTGTTTTTTTTTTTTTTTTTTTTTTAGAGAGGCTAAGCATATCTTTTTTTTTTTGAAGAGAGGCTAAGCATCTTTAATTTAATTATTTCTCAATGTTTGGAATTGCTAGGCTAAGCACATTTCTTTATTTGATTGGGTTAATTAATTAGATGAAACCTTTAATTTCATATGTATCTTATAAAACACGAGCAATAATAATACAATTTGATAGTGAAGCCTGCATGCCCCAAATAAGGAGCTGCCACGATACAGCCCTGCTGTTTGTTTTTCCTAGATAAGAGCTAATAAATAGCCTCTGCTTCCTTGCATTTTCCAAGCCACAAACAATCCAAACCTAGCTCGATCAAATTACACAAAATATTATAAGCATGAAGATCATAGTTGCCGTCTCTCTTTTAGTCCTTTCCTGGCTTAACATCTCTCTCGGGGGAGAAATCGCGATATATTGGGGCCAACATACGGATGAGGGCAGCCTGTTCCAAACTTGCGCCGAAACCAACAACTACAACATCGTAAACATTGCTTTCTTAGCAATGTTTGGCCATGGCACAACTCCAGTTCTCAACCTAGCTGGCCACTGTGGTCCTCCTAATAATCCGTGTAAATTGTTGAGCGACGAGATCAGATACTGTAAGAGCAAGGACATCAAAGTATTGCTTTCCCTTTATGGTGGTGGTGGATACCTTTCCTCTGATGATGATGCTAAGTAATCCACATCCTCTCTTATCTTCAGCATATAACATAATATAATATAATATAATTAATATAATATAATATACAGGTCAGGCCAATTACTATATAGAGTATGATGACACATTTGTTACAATTCTAAATGGTGATCACATCATTGAACTCTTATGGTAACAAGGGCATTGAGATTGAACAAGATTAAAAAAATATAAACATAGATTTAATTGATTTAAAATTTTTACTAAAAACTGATTGAAAATTTTAGTTAATTACTAAAAATCAGATGTTACCTAAAGTTCTAAACTAATTAAACAGGTTGAAGCCAGAAAATAATAGTCTGAGAATGTTAAATGACAAAAAGAATAGTTTGAGACTAAATTTGACAAGAGAGCTATGGTGGAATTAAGGAAAGAAAAAAAATACAGGATGGAATCTATCTTATATATAGTCTCGCTAGCTGCTTCGATCAACATGCATATATACATTATTTTGTGTATGCCCGCAGGAACTTGGCACAGCATCTATGGGACAACTTTCTTGGAGGACAATCAGCGTCAAGGCCACTAGGGGATGAAAGCCTGGACGGAATCGACTTTTATATAGAGGCAGGCTCCAACCAATACTACGACGTACTGGCCAAGGCCTTGTCGGAATTGGGTGAAGCGGGGGGACAAAAAGTGTACTTGGCAGCAGCTCCTCAATGTATATTCCCTGATTATCACTTGCAGGAAGCCATAAACACACGCCTTTTCGACTACGTCTGGGTGTTGTTCTACGACAATTCTCCCTGTCAGTACAACGCCACCGCCGGCGACGCCACCAATCTTTTGAACTCTTGGAACAATGAATGGTCAACCATTCCCACCGGAAAACTATTTTTAGGATTGCCTGCAGCGCCGGATGCAGCCCCCGGCGGTGGCTACATTGAACCTGATAACCTTATTTCTGAGGTTCTCCCGGTGATCCAGGCTACACCCTTATACGGAGGCGTAATGCTCTGGGATAGATTCTATGACAGAGACTACAACTACAGCTCCAAGATCAGGCCTTATGTCTCTATGGTTACTCAAAACTATGACGTCATCTAAATACTAAATGTTCGAGATCAGATCGAACATAATATAATATTGTACTAGCTACTAGCTAGCTTCCACCACTTCTACCTATGAATTATATATGATGCATTATCATATAATAATAAATAAAATGCATCATAATAAAGCTAGCTAGCTTTATTTTGTTGTTAAATATAATGGAATGTCCCACTATTTACCAAGGTCCGATTTTTAGATTTTTGTGCCTCTGTTTTTATAAATAAATGAGGTTGTACCAAAAGTATAAATGTCATCTTTAAAACTAATACTGTAAAATATATGACCCTTTTCAGTTACAAAATAATTTTGTCATGCTCAATTAATTAGGTCCTAATTATTAAGAGGGAGAAGTGTTTTGAGAAAAAATTGATGACTTTTAAGATTAATTATAGATTTTTTTTTTACTGTAGCTAGATCAAAAATAAATATTAAACCCTTCAAAAATTGAAGCTCATTTTGCACGCCTCAAATTCCCGCCATAACCGCAACAAGCTTACGAAGTTAACAATCTATATATACTGCAATTTTTAAGGTGGGAACGACAGAAACAACCAATCAACGAGCTTAGCAAAGCTAATAAGCCTCGGGAAGCATGGGTGTATGCAACAATTTACAAGCTTCCACAAAAGAATTTGCGGCTGTTTGGTACTCAGTTAATCTCTCTATTGTGTATTACCAAATATTCTACTTAGTGAGACAATTCTTTCAAGGCAACATATAACTTATTTTAAGTTACCAATAAAATATAATATGATTTAAAAGGTAAGAATGTAATAAAAGTATTATACTTTTAAGATAGTGTTTCTTTAACACGACATGTACATGATCTTTTCTCTTTCACCATTTCGAATTCTTCTTCGATCACTTGCAACACGACGTCTTCAACATTGAAGTGTGTGGCAATATCTTCAACATAGAGGTGGCGGTACGTACTTCATCAACAGCTGTCTTCCACATTCACGTGGCTGCTTTTGCATGCATGCACAACCGCCACGACACAGCCGTGCTGTTCGTTTGTTTTTGCTGGATCGCCAGGATGAGAGCTTATAATAAATAGCCTCTGCTTCAATTCCATGCATTTCCCAGGCTACAAACGATCCAAACCTAATTACACAAAATATTATATGCATGGCATATAATAATAAGATCATAGTTTCCGTCTCTCTTTTGCTCCTTTCCTGGCTTAACATCTCTCTCGGGGTAGATATCGCGATATATTGGGGCCAAAATGGGTATGAGGGCAGCCTACAACAAACCTGCGACACCAACTACTACGAGATCGTAAACATGCTTTCTTAACAACGTTTGGCCATGGCACCACTCCGGTTCTCAACCTAGCTGGCCACTGTGATCCTGCTAGTAATCAGTGTAAATTCCTGAGCGACGAGATCAGATACTGTAAGAGCAAGGGCATCAAAGTATTGCTTTCCCTTGGTGGTGGTGTCGGAGACTATTACCTTTCCTTCCGTGATGATGCCAGGTAATTCCCATTCTCTCTCATTTTCACCATATAATATAATATAGTATACATCTGTTACCAGGAACGGAGCCAGAAATTCAGTTGAGGGGCAAAAAATTTTGGCAAAACATTAAAACAAAAGAGATAATTTAAAAAATAAAAAATAACCACATCTCATTATTAATATAAAAGAATGTTATAGATGTGTATTAAATGGTAAAAAGCTGTTGAAGCCATAGGGAATGAGACATCTCATTATTAATATAAAAGAATGTTATATATGTGTGTATTAAATATTAAAAAGTTGTTGAAGCCATAGGGAAGGATTGGAGTAAAAAAAAAAAAAAAAATTGTGCCAAAATTCAAACCCTATCCTTTATTGTAACTCAAGATGTGCTCAACCAACTCATCTAAATTAACTCTTGTTGACATTCAATAGTTTTATTTTACTAATACTAACACATGTACTATATATATACGTATATACATACAAAAAATTGGGTAGGGGTGGGGTGAGGGGGGCAGCCGCCCCTGCCCCTTTGGCTCCGTCCCTATCTGTTACGATTCTATATGGATAATCACGTCATTCATTTTGTGTATGCCCCCAGGAACGTGGCACAGTATTTATGGGACAATTTTCTTGGAGGACAGTCAGCGTCAAGGCCACTAGGGGACGAAAGCCTAGACGGAATCGACTTTGATATAGAGGGAGGCACCAACCAATACTACGACGAACTGGCCAAGGCCTTGTCGGAATTGGGTCAAAGGGCGGGACAAAAAGTGTACTTGGCAGCAGCTCCTCAATGTCCATTCCCTGATTATTACATGCAGGAAGCCATAAACACCGGCCTTTTCGACTATGTCTGGGTGCAGTTCTACAACAATCCTCCCTGTCAGTACAACGGCGACGCCACCAATCTTTTGTACTATTGGAACCATTACTGGTCAACCATACCCACCGGAAAACTATTTTTGGGATTGCCTGCATCGCCGGAAGTGGTTTCATTCCGGCAGAAGTGCTAAGATCTGATATTCTCCCGGCAATCGAGGCCACACCCAAATACGGTGGCGTAATGCTCTGGTCTAAATACTATGACAATGGATACAGCCCCGAGATCAAGCCGGCCAATCATTATGTCTCTATGGTTACTCAAATACAAAATGTTTGAGAACATAATATAATACGTACTGTACTAGCTAGCTTCTACTTATGAATTGTATGATGCATTCATCACATCATATAATAAATAAATAAATAAAATGCATCTATAATAAAGCTAGCTAGCTTTATTAATTTTGTTGTTAAATATAATGGAATTGAATGTCATTGGAGTGAAGTTTGTGAAGAAGAATAAAGGTATCTAGCAGCTTTAATTTGTTGTTAAATGGAATGTCCCATCATTTACTCGACCAAACTAATCAGCACGGTATAGGATATATAAAATCCCTCTCTTATTACTTGGCAAAAATAAGACTCTTCATATACTTTTTCGGGGAAAAATTTTTTTTTGAAAGTTACTGGCTCTATTACATGGTAGTATCTGTTCATATACTTTCTCAATCTACTGAAACACAAAGAACCAATAATACCTCTGAGACTTGAACTCATAATCTTCCAAATGAAAGTCCAACCCAAGTACCATTAGACCACATAGTCCTGGTGAGTTTATTTTAAGTTAATTACCAACAAACTTAAAGAAATTCTGTATCTATTTTGAAACATTACTCTCTCAGTGTTTTAATTTAAAATAAGTCCTTTTAACTTTTATTAATTATTAGTTATAAATGTTTTATCTTAACAAAGTCAATAACTTTTGATCTAGTTATAAATGTTTTATCTTAACAAATGGTCTCAGAACTCAAATTTCATTGGTAAGGAATAACCACAATGTTACAAATTGGACTCCTCCTTTACCGACGACTAGGATGAAGGCAGATAGAGAGCATTTTCATTTGGTACATATTTACGTTGCGGGCCTTGAATTGGTTCCAGGCTGGCGGGTTGGGAAGTTGGGCGTCCATGATGGAGACACTGTAGTTCAAGGAATATTATGTATATATCTTTCTTGTGTACACACTGCTCTTGGACTCTTTCTAAGTCCACGACTCCATGGAAGTCAAGCCATCCAAACACGGCCAAATAAGAAGCTGCCACGATACAAACTTGCTGTTTGTTTTTCCAGAATGAGAGCTTATAAATACCCTTTACTCCCCTGCATCCATCTCCCACATCCAAGCTTCAAACTACACAAAATATGGCGTTTAAGATCATATTTGCCTTCTCTCTTTTGCTCCTTTCCTTGGCTAATGGGGCAGACATCGCGATATATTGGGGACAAAATGGGAACGAGGGCACCCTGCGCGACACCTGCGCCTCCAACAACTACAACATCGTAAACATAGCTTTCTTAACAACGTTTGGCAATGGCCGGACTCCGGTCCTCAACCTTGCCGGTCATTGCAATCCCGCTGCTAATACGTGTACTGGCCTGAGCGACGAGATCAAAGCCTGTAAGAGCCAAGGCATCAAAGTCTTGCTTTCCCTTGGTGGTGGCGCCGGAAGCTACTCCCTTTCCTCCGCAGATGATGCCAAGTAAGCATATATATAATCTTGTAGTTACCAATCTAACAGTCCTGGTTCAAAATTAGACAAAATTATTCAATGATCGACCATTATATTATATTTTTGTGTGCAGAAATGTGGCACAGTATCTGTGGGACAATTATCTTGGAGGGCAGTCAGGGTCAAGGCCACTAGGGGATGCGGTCCTTGACGGAATCGACTTTGATATAGAGTCCGGCGGCGGCCAATTCTACGACGAATTGGCCAAGGCATTAAAAGCTTTTGGAACAAACGTTTTATTGACAGCAGCGCCGCAATGTCCATTCCCCGACCAAAGTCTGCAAACCGCTATAAACACGGGGCTTTTCGACTACGTGTGGGTGCAGTTCTACAACAACCCCAGCGCCGCCTGTCAATATTCTGCCGGGGACACCACCGATATTCTCAACTCTTGGAACAATAACTGGTCAAAAATTCCGGCACAGAAAGTATTAATGGGATTGCCTGCTTCTCAGAATGCAGCCAACAACGGTTTCATTCCTGCCGATGTTCTTACTTCTCAGATTCTCCCGGCGATCAAGGGTTCACCCAAATACGGAGGCGTAATGCTCTGGTCTAAATTCTTTGACAATGGCTACAGCTCAAGTATTAAGTCTGCGGTTTGATCAAACCTATCCGATCCGGCCTACTTCATACATCATAATAAACGTTTGTTTCTCCTTTTGATGGAATTGGGAGATCGAACATAATATTGTACTAGCTTTAATTTTCTTGTGCCTATTTATGATGCATTCATCATATCAAATAAATGTTAGTTTCTCCGATCCCGAGACCATTTCCAACTTTAATTTTTGTAAAAGAGTTGAAAATTAAAAAACATAACCTTCTCAATATTTCTTGCCTTAGAAGTTAATTAGAACATGTCAAGATTGTATCACCTTGATTCTTGCTCCAAATCAATCTTTCAGATATATTTTTTTAAAGTCAAATAAGATAATGAAATTATAAACTTTGTATTTGGTACGGTATGCATTGAGGCATAGTAGAAAAGTTTAAGGTATCCTACATCACCTCAATGGAATCACTATAGATTAAATTTAAAGTTATGCCAAATGTATTAAGTTTATAAGTTTTGTTTTCCTAACAGTCACAAATTCTATTAAGGATCAAAAAAGAATTGATATAGATTTGGCATTTTGTAAGCACTTTGGCTGTTTAGTTTGGCAGTTTGGCGCTTGTGGACCACTTGATGCTATTTACCTTCCCAAATTTATAATCAAAAGTGTAGAAACAAATATATTGATTGATTTTTTTCTTCTCTTCGTGAAAGATCACAATAAATAAGGAATCTTCAATCTACTTCACTAATATAATATAATAAATAGAAAAACCCCATGATCTTTCCATGACCATGGAACCTTTATAACTTAATAATTTTTAAACCTTTCAGGATTAAAAAATTATCATAATATATACAAAGTACATGACAAAATCTTTCATAATCTAATTTAGTTTTTCATCTTCTTCAATTGTAATATATAATGTATAGACATATATATTGGAGGACTATATAAGTTATTTCTTAAAATATAAATATCAAATTTATAGAAACGATTTACATTATTATTATTATTATTATTATTATATCTAAAATCTAAAATTTAATATAGAGTACAAAAGTTGGACATTGATTATCGCACATAAAGAATATAATTCTAGTTATTCATACATTATACATTAAAAATGGTCATGAAACTAAAACGGAGGTGCTATAATGGGGAATGCCCCACCATTTAATTTGCACAAGCAAACTAAGTTGACTTGAGGTCAACCTAGCAGAAGTCATGGACAAACACGGTGCTAAGCTTCATTAATGAAGCGTGATTGTAGGTTAATTGACCTTGACACGTTAAAGGTTGCATACTTGCATTGTCCACAGCCACCGGTTCTCATTGTTTCTTTGTCTAGATTGAAAATATGACTTAAAAATAAATGGGTTCACAAGGAGTGATAGAATGGTGAATCATGACTAATGAATTACCCCGAGTAAGGTACCCAGTCAGGAGCTTGTCTAGACACTCGTGACTTGCAAACATGATTTGTAGAATTGCACTTTATTCAAAAGACTGGTAGGATCCCAAAATTCGAGCGCGTGTAATGCGCAAGCAGTACCGGCTAGGGCACATCGAAAAGGGTTTTGCTTTTGATTCTCTCACAATGACACTCACTTTGCCATCTCATTTTCCCCTTTAATTAGTTACGGTTGTATTGGCCTGCCATGGCCGTAAAACCAACAATGACTTTTGTCAATCCTATGTAGTTTATATGTTATATGTCCTAATGCATACCATCAAATAATGCTGGCAGATTTCTCTTGTTATAATATTCTTTTTGCTCTAAATTTACTTAATTATTCCTGTCCAGTGTAGTTCATTGTTCTCTCTAACTAATTGCCAATCATCAACTTGATAATCCCTTGCATCACCAATTAGCTAATCAAACACAAACTCCTTCTCATGAATACTCCTGGCAAAGAATAAGTGAAATGTTGTTAGCAAGTATACTGCTAATGCAACTATAAGATTGGAGGATGAACTCTTATGAATCATGTTAAAAAGTTCAAGCCAAATATTTTCCCAAGTAATAGTCAGTCAAACTCTGAAACTCCACTAGGACAACCTATATCGATTCAGACCCCTTGTTTGGGCTTTTATACCAATTCATTGATCCATGAGAGAGTATGGCAGCAATGTTGGGTATTTCATCAAACAGTTGGGGGTTTTCTTGGGCTTCTATCATTTTATCTTATTACCTGTTTTGGGGCGGCTGCTCATACAAACTTATACTTAATCAGGATTATATTACAAAAATGCAGAGTTTCCTCGACAATGGAAACCGGCCAAAAGGATAAAACTAGCCCACCTAAGCCTACAATGGTGTCTGGTAGTAGCATTATTTTCCTTTGGAGTATTCTGCATATCTTACTTGTTGGAATTGAGTTTTCTTATTACACCGACACGCAATAATACCATTTGGAAGTCGAGTCTGCATGCAGAACAGCAAAACTATACACTACGATGAGAGCTTATAAATAGGCTCTACTTCCATGCATATCCCACATCCAATCTTTAAAGCTACAAACATATGGCGTTATTTAAGATTCTTTTGCTCCTCTCCTTTATTAACATCTGTGTCGGGGGAGAAATCGCGGTATATTGGGGCCAAAATGGGGATGAGGGCAGCTTGGGCGACACTTGTGCGACCAACAATTACAACATAGTAAACATCGGTTTCTTAACAGTGTTTGGGAATGGCCAAACTCCGGTTTTGAACCTAGCCGGGCATTGTGATGCTGCTAGTAATCAGTGTAGTGGCCTAAGCGATGAGATCAGGGCCTGTAAGAGCCAAGGCATCAAAGTCTTGCTTTCCCTTGGAGGTGCTGCAGGAAGCTATACCCTTACCTCTGCTGATGATGCAAAGTAAGCCTAAATAAACTATACTATGATATATATCTATATAGGAGACGGTTCATGTGAAAAAATGCTCTCACATGCAATAATGACTACTCTGATCCATCATGGGAAAAAAGATGACGCTCCGACTCTAATAAACAGAGATCAGTCTCACTTTTTACAAGAGACTGTGTTCTTATTTGATCATGCCCATATATATAGACAACTAGGTCGGGAATGTGTGAGGGACAAAATTAAGGGAGTATAAATATATATATATATATAAGCATAGAATCATAATCACGTATGAACCACCCTAAACCTGCGAACTACTGAAGGATTGCACCACAACTAATATGTGATTGCACTGCAACGGCTCCTAGACATGCCTTGAGGACCTTTGCAGTGCAATCGTATTCGGTGCGGTGCAATCATATAATAAGTGTGGTGCAATCCTTCAGTAATTCACAGTTTCGCACGTTAAGGTCAATTCGCACTTGATTATGGATTATAAGCATAATTTTTCAATGTTGAACACTTCAACACTATGTGTGTGCAGGAATGTGGCACAATATCTTTGGGACAACTTTCTTGGAGGGCAGTCACCGTCAAGGCCACTGGGGGATGAAAGCCTAGACGGAATCGACTTTGATATAGAGGCTGGCGGCGGCGAATTCTACGACGAACTAGCCAAGGCCTTGTCGGAATTTGGACAAAAAGTCTACTTGTCAGCAGCTCCACAATGTCCATTCCCCGACCAAAGGCTGCAAGGCGCCATAAACACCGGCCTTTTCGACTACGTCTGGGTACAGTTCTACAACAATCCTCCCTGTCAGTACTCCGGCGACGCCACCAATCTTTTGAACTCTTGGAACAATGACTGGTCAACCATTCCCACCGGAAAACTATTCTTGGGTTTGCCAGCGTCCCCGGAAGCAGCCGGAAGTGGTTTCATTCCGGCAGATGTGCTAACTTCTCAGATTCTCCCGGCAATCACGGCCACACTCAAATACGGTGGCGTAATGCTATGGTCTAAGTTCTATGACAATGGCTACAGCGCAAGCATCAAGCCAGCAGTTTGATCAGATCAAAACGTCACTACTTTTGTGACAACCTTGTACCTACTTATGATGCATGATTCCATGAGATAACTGTGTATCATAAGCATAAATAATTCTGCAAACTTCTAATAAATCTGCAGTAGCTATTGATATGAATAAATTAAGCCCGTTTATAGTTTAACATGGAGTTTATGATAATCTGCATTACAACTATGCAACTCAAGATCAGAGACATTAATCAATGAAGGAGCCTTTTAACCATTTACACAACTGTTTCGTTAGATTTTGAGAGTTCCCCCTAAACCACACCCAAAAAAAATTATGAACAGACAGCACCAGAAGGATCGAGGATGTATCTACCTACAAGAACTAACAGAATATTTGGCCTAAGCATCCCTTGATTCCCTTCTTGCAAACGGGAATGAAAGAATGGCGGCAGGTAGTATTGGTGAAGTGAAAAATGTTAACTACTTTGTGAGATGGAATGTTACCTGGAAGCTATGCTGCAGCAGCTTGTGTTGAGTTAGAATTTTCTGTATTCTCGAGTAGAGGCTTCACGTATTTCCCTAATGCTTTTTGGCGAGTCCGTTGTCTCATCCTAAAGAGCTTATCTTTACTCTGTTGCTTCTTTATCTCTCTCTCTTTATTCCTTAGACTCCTCTCCTTCTCTAAGATACCTTGCCAGAAAACTTCACCTGTGGCCGGCCATAGCCACCGCTTCTTCGGAGGGTCAGTATCAGCCAACTCAGCCAGCTCCTCATCCAGGCTCTTAAGTGTCTCATACTGGAACCACTTCACCCACATATGACCTCTCCGGCTCTTCAACTCGTGTTGTTCTTGCATCAAACCTGTATTTGCGTCCACATATACCATTCTTCTAGCGCTATGGTACGCCCAAACGTTTATGAGCAGCTCCAGCAGCCTCGAGTAGCAATGCTTGTCCTGCTAAAGAATTCGAGCTATAATTTAATTTATAGAAATACACATTCAAAATTAATCTTACTTGACAACAACGCTGTTCATCAAAGAAATATAATCCTTCTGTTGTATCTATAATAATGCATACTGGAGATGTCGTAAAACCAGAATTTGAAAATAGTTACCTGACTTAAACTCAAGTAGCAATATCCACTCTCATGGTGCTCGTCATAGAAGTGTGAGTCGAGTGCATCAACAAACATTCTGCAAAATTAGACGGAAAAAATCCTCAGAATATTACTGGTAATCAAGTAATTAATGGGTAAATTATGGCCCGCAGAGTGCAAAAGAAGTGTCCTAACCTTGAAAACATTACGAACTCTAGGAAGGATCTTGTCGGTAAAACCCAACTATGCATGCGCGACCAAGTGCCTCCATCAACAGGCATTGGCGGAAGAGAGGTTAAATTCGGTTCAATGCCATACATCTTCTTCAGAGCCTGAGAGAAAGCAAACCTGATCAAACAAGAAAAATATATCAGCTCAATCGTCTATTAAATAACTATTTCTGTGGACAAGCACAATAAATGTAAAAGATAACTGTTCTTTTGTTTGGGAGAACTCAAGGTGGGTGAGAAAAGAAGATTTTTTTAATGTCTCGAATCTTACTGGCAATTTCCAGCATTAACAGCATCACAGAATGACCAGAAATCCTGTTTTGTCATATCCATGTCCATAGGAGCCCAGAAAAACAAGGCGTCACCATATCTTTGTGCTTCAATAGCATTTACCAATGATGTTTCAGCCGTCTTAGACAAAGATTCCTGTTTGTAAACCTAAGTTAGGTGACTCCTCAGGTATAAAGAAATTGCATTTGAATCTACACATCACTCAAAGGGTCATGAACTAAAATCAAACATTTCATTTAAACCAAGAAATTCAGTAGCCCTCATAAACCAGGAAAGCATAAGCAATTACTACAAACCTTTAGCGCAATGCAAGTATAACAAACTGCAAAACAGCCAAAAAATAACAAACCTTTCTTGCAGTTGCTCTCCAAGACTGGAAGCCTATCCAAGTGTTTTTGTGAATGTTATCGATCTGGTTCGCAATTGCAAAAAAACCACCATATTCACTAAGGAGATCTCGGTAATAGGTGTTATTAAGAAGCGGAAGGCTAGAAGGTGCATCAATGTCATCAAGTCCAGGTCTGCGTCCTTTCGTAGACTGTAATTAACCAGTTCAAATATCCAAGTGATATTGTTAGCAGTACTTTTACATAATAACTACTATGAGTCTGACAAAATAGCACAACCAAATCTCATAAGAAGACTCACAAGTCCAATTCCTCGATAGAGTGATGTATGATGCAAAAAGGGCCAGGTCCCCTCCCCATAATAGGGTTCATATATGCACAATGGTTGATCGGTCCTTTCAAGCTCCTTATCATCCCTTTCATGCAAATCATTCTTTGCCCGGTCAGCCCTTTTGGCATTTTTGTATACTTCCTCCCATGTTCCACTATGTTGATCAGTTCTGCCCTTCAACTGTATGAAATCCAAACAGAAGATATTATTCATGGACTAAATTCCGGAATGTAATCCAAGTACGAAAAAAAATTCATAAAAATAAAAATAAAAGAAGAAGAACGAAGTAAGAAAAGAAATGTTCAAGATTACTATAAGGATGAAAAGAAACAAATCCTTCACCAGATACCTCTTCATCTTCTCTTTGCTTCCTCCTATTCACTGCCTGATTAAATTTTTCTTCCTCCCAGATACTATACACAAAGGTTTCATCAATTTGCATTACAGGATCCATTCTTTGGGTATGAAATAGTTGCTTTTCAAGAATGTCTAAAGACTTATGGATCCTCCAAGTTATGTTTTGAGAATGATTTGAATCAATTGCTTGAAAAAGCTGCCCCTGCCATGCTATATTCAATGAAGCCAGTAGATTTTCAACTTCAGATGGAAACCCGAGTATGTTTTCCATTAGCAAAGCATATCCTTCAACACTTTGTGAAACCATAAGGTTCCTAGCCGCATGCAATCCAGCTAATGCAGCATTTTGAGCTAGAAGTGATAATTTACCATTTGAGACAAGTTGGGTCATTATCTGTGTCAAAACCTTGATATTCTCTTTTGGGAAAAGAAAGCCATTCACCTGATCATCAACCTAGTAAGTGCAGTAAAAATGATTACTTTCCCACTTTGACAGCAAAAAGATAGCGAAAAATACACTATATATGGTTGGCAAATATACATAGATACACACATGGATATATGTATGTATGTATGTATGTATGCCAGTAAGGAAAAATGAGATAGTTCCCTACATATTTTTTTATGATTGGCAGGTCTGGGGCTACAATAGGTTTCCCAAAGCACATTGCTTTTAGCAAAATGTCTGGAAAAGATTGCTCTTCATGGAGTGACGAGTATATCACAATATCAGAAATACTTAAAATACTGTCTTTCTCTTCATCTTGACCAACAAGCATCACCATTCCCTTTGGAAATTTCAATGTCCGCACAATGGTCTGTTGAAGTCAGAATACCAAATTAGCTTACATAAACAAGAAGCATTAGCATATCAACAGAAAAGAAACTTGTTTTACCTCCACAACCATGCTGTAGTTACTATTTGAAGATCCGGCAAAGACAATGATTTTGAAGGAAATCGAATTTCCATCTTTCTGGAATCCTTGGATAATTGGTAGCAAAGCCTGTAAAACAAGGGCATGCTCCAGCCAGAGACCTTTGTATAGAAGTTGACTTCCCACGATTGCAATAATAAAATCATCTGGTTCATATTCCATCTTTGCCCGGAGACCATCTTTGTTTGAAGCCATAAAATTATCAGCTTCCCATGCTTCTGTAGCAGAACCCAAATTTACAAAGTAGTTTCCAGCATCAACCATTGAATATTGTATCTAAATGGCATAACCAAACAGAATTAGCCTTTGAATGATTCCACTAATATATGTGTAATGAATACTAAAGCAAAACTCAAAAAAAGAGTGAATAAAGTTCATAATATGGATAGACAAGATATGCAACTATGCAAGAAATCATAATTTTTTCTATTAAAAAGTACCGGCAGAATATAGGTTGGGAACACAACAAAATTGGAACGACTAAAGACTTTTCTCCAGTTTTCAACAAGTGACTTCTGGCCACTTGAATCATACTGTCTCAATCTAGCAGCAAGTGCATGTTCATGAACTGTCCATATAACAGGTACATTTTTAAAAGGTTCCTGCATAAGACTATAACAAGTATAAATTGAAGAAGGCGATCCATACTACATAATCTGCAATCACAACATATTTGAGCAAACAAGATATGACTTATTATCATAACACTTCCAGACTCCTAAATGGCAAAAGAATATCACTTCCAAATAAATAGTATTCAGTATTTTCCGGTTTAAATAGCACAAAGTAAAAGTGGCATTAGTGAAATGTTTCCTTCAGCCAACTTCATGGAGCCTAATCTCAACCTTCCAGAGCATTGATATTATTACTGTTTGGACATCTCACTCAACAAAAATATGCATCATTACTTTCAAGAAGCTTCAAACAGGAGCACAGTAATTTCTCTAGCAAGATAATAGGAGAATGATGCTCACCAAGGCAAGACTGCTGCAGCTTCAATTGAGTTAAGAAATAAGGCATCATAGCTGCAAATAACATACAAAAATAATTTTATAAATATAAAAATTTAAAAATATTAGTTAGGTCCAATCTGGAAAAACCTAAAGAATTGAAACTTAAAACAAAATCAGAATACTCAACAAGAAAGCTAACTTCAATTTCTGGATATAATAATGAAAACGTGCATCATAAACAAAAAGCAGGCTTCAAGTAGTCTAAAATTTATCATGTGAAGAATGTTGTTTCATTGACAAAAAGAAGGTGAGTAGTGCCAAGCCTGCAAGGGTTTTGCGAAATGACGAGATGAAACACTCAGAGCCTCACTTTATATTAAATTCAAATGTTAGAAACTGGAAACAAGAGGCATACTTTAGCCAATCTATATAGATCATCAAACTCTTATTAGTTTCTATGATGTTGACCGGAATTCCTGCATCTCTCCATACAGCATATGCAGGACCATGTTCAAGAGTGAGCACCTGGACTTAAAAACCAACAGTGAGCCACGCAAAGAAAACCATTGGACCATTATGGTTTTTCCAGGACAGTGAAAGCAGATAACAACTCCTAAAAGCTTAGTTGAAACTCAAGCAAGTTGCTTAGACTAAAATGAAATTGAAGATACTAGAAAGAGAAAAGTCAATATCACCTCAACTTCATAGCCAATCTTCCTCAAAGCCGATACTACATGAAACATCATGACTTGATATCGATCAACCAGCAGATTAGCAAAAACCTATCAGCAGAATCAAATCAATTAATTAGCATATGTAACTTGTAATTGAAGTTCCAACCATAAATTACCAGCTATAAGTACATTAAATATTTTTTCATGAACAACTACTACTAACAGAATCACCAACCAACAACAATTTACAATAAGATGAAATGTCAACCAACACATTTTCAAAAGGATCTACAGGAAAACATCAACCCTCACCAATCCAAGTTTCGGTTTTCTATACCCAAAGTTCATAGCCCTCCTTGACTCAACTGTGCCATTCAGCTCCCTATTCTCTTTCTTGAGCTTTGCTATGAGCTCAAAGGGCTGAAACTTCACATCTTCCCCAAAGTCCAATCCACCCAACTCTTTCAAGAATTCTAAATCCCCAGATACTGAGGTATTCTCAGATTTTTCCACCACTGTACCGGGCAGCAACATCTGGAACACCAAAACAAAGAAGAAGAAAACCCCCACACTGCAAATCCATTGCAGATAATCAATCTTATTCAAAAGCACTATCCTCGTGACCCTCGATTTGAGCCTCTCCCACCTGCTTGCTCCTGGCGACGAGGAACGAAGCAGCTGCTGGTGACTGTGGTCTCTCTTCAACGGAAGCACACTTTCAAGAGAACCCATTTACAGTCCCATCAACAATCTACGGCACACCCGTATACAGATGAAAACAAGGGAAAACAATTGAACAAACCAAATTATTCTAAAATTTCAAAAAAAAAACAAAAGAATATATAACTATAACTAAAGCGGAATAAAAATGTCCTTTACTTGGAGAGTAGTTCAATATGATACTCAATTATGCTCACAGAAGTACAGAACCAGCTCTCAAAGTACACCGTATAATCTATGGATGCAGACAGCATACGTATACGTATAGCTATACAGCGTATTTTGTACGTGTACGCATATTCGCGTATATATAGTCCATATGGAAAATTCAATACTCATTATTTTTAGACCAATTTTGGCTTATTTGACTACTATTAATTATTTTTTTTTTCTCAACCTAATGAAGCACAAAGAGTCAACAACGCCTCCACTGAGGCTCGATCTCATGACTTCCCACATGGGAGAGGTCACTACATGCCATCTGAGCACAAGGTGCTTGGCACTACTATTAATTATTTGATTTAGTTAAAATATCAATATAAATGTTTGGTTAATTAGCTTTTTATAACTCCAAAATGCTAAAATTCAAAAAACTACTTTAAGCAACTTTTTCAATTAGCTTTTTGAGAAAAGAAATTATACCAAACAGCTATCAACTAACAGCTAATTTACCAAACATTTTTCTACAATCAGCCAATGTTATCAATTATTTATACCCTCTAATTAACACAATCAGCTAACGGCTAACAGCTATCAGCTAACAGTCATTTTACCAAACAGGGCCTTTATGTAATTCCGTTAATTTTATTTTTAATCAAGGTGATTTAACAACACATTATCGTAACTCACATAGTTCTATACGTGTATTAATGTGTATAATACGATCACCATTACAATAGCGTGGGATCTACCTGGATACTGAACAGGTACACAGTACGTAGAGGTAACAGGACCAAAGATATATTTCCTATCAATAGCTGTCAGAGCTCAATGACTAAAATTTCTATTTATGCATCAAGCTAACCAAATTTGCAATGAACTCACCTAAATATCTGCAATTGGCAATAATTGGAAATTACTTTAACTATCTGCAATTGGCAATAATTGGAAATTACTTTAACATAATGAAGCAACATTGCTTCACTTTGTCAAAATTATGATGAATGATAATAACTTACAATCATTATATTGTGATTATATGATTATATTAATGATCAATGACATAAAATTTAATGAACTTATATTAAAAATAAAATACTCCGTATTTATCATTAATCTACCTTTCCCTTGCAATATGAGCCATAAATAATTTGCCAATAACTTATGACTAATTCATTATCAATTCTCTTGATGCGTCTAAAAAAATATTACATGGAACCCTTAAAACAAATGCTTCTAAATAATAAATCTAAATAAATTATTTGAACCAGTTTGAAAACTACATTTTAGGATGGTAGAAATACACAACAAATCAAGGAGTAACAGGCGCTTGAGTGCTTCACAGCGCTAGCTTCTACATGCCAGAAAATTCCAGCTCATCAGTGCAAATCTGGCTGGGAGCTGTTGTTGCAACTATATATATTTATATATAATCATCTAGAATTCAAGGGTTTCCTAGCAACAAGTGAGCTGCAGCTGGAATTACAAATCTTTTACCACAAAATCGTGTTTTTGCTTGACGAGAAGAGATTACAATGTGAGGTTTCATGTCCAGATTGGGAATGGCCATCGGATCTAGTCTAATCTGCCAAGAGGGGACTCGGAGGCATGATCTTCCACCAACCATAGACCAAATTCGCGGAAACGCTTTATCTTCTTCTCAAAACCAGTAATATAGTTATTGTGGATAATAACAGTCGTTCCCTTGGTCTCTTGCAACCATGTTTGGTTCTTGAAGTACAGACCACCCGTTGGGAACGCTGCTTGAGGAAGCAGATACAAGTCGACCTGCAATGATTTCATACGTATTCAAATTCAACTCCATTTTCATTCTTGGTATTCAAACCGGAAAAGGAAAATACAATTTCATTTGCAAAAAGAGCAAAGTCTTAAATAGATCATTGTGTGTGTTCTTTATATGGACATGGGATAGTATCAACAGGGAAAATACCACACTAAAGAGCAACTTTTTTAAGGCACGACACAGGTCCATTTGAACTAACTTTTTGACAACAATTCAAGATTACAATGAAATAAACACAATTTTCAATTTGGGAAAACAGATAATAGAAAAAGCACACACCTGTCCAGCAGTTTTGTTTAGTGCCCAGTTAAAAGCAGGCTGGTCATTAGCTTTCTTTGCTTTGGACCATGGTTGAGCCGATAGTTCTTCAATCCACTTCTTCATCACTAATTTTGCTCCATCTGTGGGTCGCATATAAATCATGCAGCTACATATGTAAGTTCGGCCTTTTTTCCCTGGAGGTGGCAAATCGTGAGAGTGATTCAGAGGTTTCACCTGGTAGTTCCAGAAGAAAGGAAAATGGGCCAAATTTTCATCACAAACAGTCAAAGTAGGAAATGATTATAACAAAAAGCAGAATTGAAATTAATTCTATCGACCTGTTTACAACAAGATAACCTCCCTTCCACCTCCACTGGTGAAATTCAAAAAGAAATTTTTTAAAAATACATTAAATCATATTCAAAATTTCAATTTAACTCTTCGTCATGCTATTTTGAACTGTTCATCTTATTCTGCAAAATCCTCTAGTTTTGATGTTAAAGTTTGCAAGTCACTTTAAAATTCTGTAGACAACTACCAAGCAGAATAATATACATGCTGCAAAACAAGAAGTGCATAATGCAAAACTAGTGCAATTAAGAATCTGGAAGCAGTCTTAGCAGACTTACTGCAGACATGTCATCCGTGAAGTACACATCATGCTCCCCTTTCAAGTAAGGAAATGGATCTGCTAACCATACCATATCCACATCATTATACATCACGTTATAACCAAGCTCCAAAATTTGCAGAAGATGGCGAGGCCTTCTGGAAGTAAAATTGAAGAAGCCCTGTAAAACCGAAATAATATCTTTACTTCCACGTAGAATAAATTAAATTACAAAGAAGAACTACTAACAATCTTGCCTCATCTATCATCATTTGAGTTCCATTCCTAAAGGACAATAATACAGCTAAAGATTTCAATCAGTTATCACCAGTTATAGACAGTTATATGTTAGTTACTACCCTCCACTAGTTAACAGATCCTGCAACTGCAATCTAAACCTCATCCACATTCTTGGCAGAAAGCTTTACTAAAATCATACTTAGCAAAAGAACTAGATTCCAATCAATGAAAGATTTTGCAATTACTAAATCAAATACTGCAACATAGACACCATTTTAAACCAAAAATTACAGCTCCAGATTACTTACAACTCCAACAAAAATGCATTTTTCTTACCTGAGACCCAAACTTGTGAGCATTCTGAGACTCCACAACTGGAGGCACAAGCACAGCATGGCCAGGCCACCTTTCATTCACCTTATACAAAGTCCCATAGTCCTCAGCAATCACCAGCACCTTGTCGTGCTGCTTTTGCCTGGCAATGCTTATCAGCCAGTTGTTCAAGAAGGGCAAGTAAGGCTCACTCACAGCGCAGACTATCAGAGTCCCATTGCGCGACACGTGGGCCGCCGCCTGCGCCAACGTGTACTCCCGCCACTTTGATTGCGAGATCTTAGAGCTGGAACCGATCTGGAAAAGCCCGATACTGGGGATTTGAGCCCATGGGAAGAGAACTCCGAGGATCACGAGAAGAGTGAGGAGAAGAACTAAGGAGGTCCTGTTGAACAGAAGCGATGTATGTTTCTGGTAATCTTGCGAAGATCTAAGGGATAACCCGTATTGATTTCTGAGGGAGTTCTGAATTGCCCTCTGGTGTAAAAATGAGGACATTATGCTTGTTTCTTACTTACCTTCAATTCCAAGTGAATATATGTGTATGTATATATGTATGTATATGCATTTATTTATAGAGAGAGAAGATCTCAATTTGACTAACTCAGATCTGTGCAGAGACACATAAAGAGTGTGTGGGGAATGGAGGGAATTTCTGTGAATCGGTAGAGTAATGGTGATTGCTGGCTGGATGAAGATGACGACGATCTGGATCTGCTATACAGCTTTTTGGGCCGCTGTTCAACACAGGCCCAATATCTTAAGAATGTCGGCTAGTTTACGTGCATTTTTTTCCAAACAATAATTTTTAAAAAAATATTGAATGTGATTTTTTTTTTGTTGAATATACAATAAAATATTATGTATGTCTCATATGTTAATGAAATATAACAAGCGTTGGAGTGTAGTGTAGTATAATAAAGGAAGTGAAATGGAGTGACAAAATTGGATCTGTTTGGTAAAATATTTAGTAGTTAATTTTGACTTGTTTGACTATTATTAACTGTTTGACTTGGTTAAATAAGTAATATGTGCGTTTGATTAATTAGGTTTTTGTAACATTTTATTGCTCCAAAATAGTAAAATTCAAACTGAAAGTAGATTTTTCGAACATCTTTCTATAATCCGCTAATGATATCAACTAATCAAATTCTCACTAACTCAATCAGCTAATAACTATTTATCAAACACATCAATATTTTTTATTTTATTTTTCCTTTTACAAATGGAGTGACAACACTTATTTATGGACTTTCGCACCTGAATAAGTCGAGGGCATGGGACACCACCACTACAATATGATGACTGTACCATTACATATAAATATAATGAACATAACACGGAATATATTATTATCAAAATTAATAAATAAATAAAAACTGTTTCGCTATTGTGGATGTATGTACATATATCATTAGACAAAACTAGTAATGTTGTTAATGTATTAATTACATGATATGTAACCTTCATTATAACTTTGTAAATACAGTATAATCACTTTGCCTAAATTATATGTATACATCACACTTAGCAGAGAGTGCTAGGCAAATCTCTATGCACAGTTGTTGGTTGTAAGCTAGCATCATACATTGCTACTTGCCAAATATACAGTTTTTTGTGCATCTTCTTACTTTTCTGCAAACAAATTAAAGGAAAGAATGAGATGAAATGAGACAAAAACAGGCTATAGATTGATGAATTAGTGTATGTTTGTTCGACCAAGTCAAGAGATTGAGGAAACCTTGGTGCATTCTGGGATTTCGAGGATTATCTTCCTTCACTCTGGTTTTCAGTTTTCTTGTCTTCTGCTTGACAAAGAATGCTGAAATAGCACTCTTGCTGCGAATGGGAGCTCGTGTTGTCTTTCGACATGGAGTCATAGGGTTATAGCCCCCCAAGGCATCCTGCAAATAAAAATTAGATAATGTGTTCCATCTCAACTAAAAGTATAAGAATAGTGAGTTTTAAAAGTACACTACCCGACGTGTAATTCCCAGGGTTCGCATGGCTACACTTGATGCAGGACCTGCACGCAGTGCCAGAGGACGGGCTGGGGATTTTGCCTTGATGATCTTGTCAGCATCTGCAGACAACATGTTTCTGCAGATAAAACCTCATGATCTGCTAAAAATGTAGGAATTTTCATATACAAAAATGCACTGAACAGTGAACACACCGGATAATGTTCTTCCAGAACTCTTTCCAGTCTCATCACTGCAAACCCATCAACATTTTTATCACTAAAACACTCCAGAAAAAGCAGAATCCTATTTCACTTGCCAACAATAACACCACGACTAACCTCACCGAACCCTTCTTCACTTTCGATTTGGCTCCCGATGCTAGATGCCATGAAAGCGTTTTCGCAGCAGGTACACCTACAACATACAAGGTAACAAAGTCACATTACCTACCACATATCATATATTACATATCTGTTGGGCAAAGGCCAGAGAGTCAAGTCTAGCATCCTGTCTGCCGCCCAGTGTGGTACAACTATCATATCCCATGGCGAAGATACCTGAAAGAAAAAGGTGTTGTCTTGTTTGAATATGTGCCCGAAGACTCCTGTGAATAAGCGAGCTAGTTTGGACATTCTTGTTGACAGGACATATCCCCGGAGCTAGCACATAAGCAGCCGAGAAATAATTACCAGAAAGCTAATTAAGGATACATCAAACATTTATATATAACTTCTGATCTCAAGTACTTATTGTGCCCATACCAGGTAAAGTATAATGTTTGTGAAGCCTGGGAATGGTTGGTAGCAGCTGCTGCTGTCTGAGACCTTCGTGGTCAGTATATGTTTGGCATGTAAGAAGTCTCTGATCCAAACATGAAACCTTCAACTCCATCATTGAAACATCTAAGCTTTGCTGTTCGAGGATGTCTGTCAATTTGTAAGCAACAGTGCCTAGGTGATCCACTGCATTCACGAGAGCTCGCACAGCGTAATCTTTTAGGTTGTCTATGACCCTATATAACATAAATGAGACAAAAACCCAGATTAAGAATGCCCATTTTATCAACGTTAATCCTATAAAAGAATAAAAGATTGGTTCTCTGGCCTTACATCTGTTGCTGCTTGCAGCATTGATATGATTTCTCGCAATATTCTGCGGCAGAGTAAAGCTGCGGCCTCAAGTTCTTGAGTTCCTAAAACAGGCACTGATACAACGTTAGTCCAAAATCAAATAACATTAAAAAAACAAAATAGAACATACAAATTCAAACCTGTAAGGCCTTGATGAAACTTTTGTTTTGCTCCGTTTCGTTGCTCATCGTCGCAGGATTCTCCGGCTTGGTTTGCTCCACCGCCATTTCTCCAAAAAAAAAAAAAAAAAGCATGAATTCTGGCAAAAGGACAATTGGATAAATATCAAAGATTCTGAAGTATGATCATCGTTCTGGTTGGATTAGGTACCAAGTAAGGTATAAGCGGTGGTACGTGGTCGGAGAAATTTAATGATAAAATAGGGACAGGAAATGGTGTCCCAGAAGAAGCAATCCCAGTGATTCTTGTTGGAGTCAAGAGCAAGTGAAAGCGACAACAAATGTTATTATTATGCACAAATGATCTTTCTTTTCCTACAGTTTGAAGCGGTTGGTAAACGAATGTACAAGAGTCAAACTCTGCGACTATGATCCGGGGATTATCTATTTTTGGATATGAAGAAGTCAAGTTAAGCCAATCAACATAATTTTCGCAAAGGGTCTAAATTCCAACCAAGAAAACAAACATGGCATTACAAGTTCAGAGCTTTGATGTAGCAATATGCAAAGAAAGCTATACTATACAAAATTTTACAGATGCCCGAGTGGATTAGACTCAAGCCGACAGCAAAAGAGTAACAGGGATTTCTCCAAAAGGTATTTACAGTAGAAAGACAGATTACAGCAAACAGGGATGTAAACTCTATCTAGTATGTGCTGTTGGAGACAGTTTTATCTGTGATAATCCTCGGGGAACAGGCGGAGGACTCAAAGGAAGTCGGCTTTGGCATCGAGGGGCAGCTAATGTATTGAATCATTTCCTCTATCGCGACCACATAAAACTTTGGAGGTGCATTCAAAGCAATGTTATGGACCTTGTGCTCGTAAATCTTCCCGGTCTTATCAAGTTTGTATTCTGAAGTGCCGTCAAATCGACCCCGGCTCTCCCAAGGCACTCGAGGGATGCCATGGACAGTCCAACGGACCATTATCGTGCTATCCACTGGCTGCCACACGCTAACAATATCTATCCACAATGCCCTGAAGAACATCCTGCCATGGAACCGTAATGCCCAGAAGATTGATTTATAGTTCTCAATGCCCACAAAAGTGTTAACTGGATCTTTGAAGACAATATCATCCCTGCAGAGTGTAAAACGAAACCATCAAGAATTGCATACGTTACATACATACAAGTTGACACGACAAGCAACCACAACAGTCTCACGGGAATTGCTAGTAAAAAGAAAAGAGAAATAACTGACAGAAAGATGCATCAAATCCTTCCATCTTAATCCATATCATTGCTGATCATAACCGGAACATCTCACATCGCTATTCTTGAATGCAAAGGACAAAAGAAACGACTTTGTGCTCCTTTAAGACTCCAATGCATATGCATCTCAAAATCTGAACCCAAACCCTAACACAACACAAAACTAGCTCATGTATGTTTGACCTATATATATTTATATATCCCCGAATTCCCATATGAAGCATCCCTCACAACATCACAAGGTCAAGGTATGTAACATATAGGGGGTGTTTGGTAAATAGTTGTTAGCTGATTGGAAAGTGAGTTTGAGTAGTTGATAGCATTAGCTGATTGTAGAAAGATGTTTGGTAAATTAGCTGATTACATGCAAAATGACTATTTCTCAAAGCTGATCGAAAAAGCTGTTTTGAGCAGCATTTTGAATTTCAGTATTTTGAAGCAATGAGCTGTTACAAAAAACTAATTAATCAAACACTTATGTGTTACCAAATAAGCCAATTAATCAAACACTATGGTTGAATGACCATAGCCATCTAGGTACCAACTAAGGAGTACAGAGCAAGGGACTAGATCAATAAGATAAAAGGTAAGAACTGAATCCATTTTCTGGACTTCAGAAAGCACACTAACACGGATATATAACAACCATCTTGATCAGTTTTATTCTTTAAAAAAATTCTTACTTTTTACTGGAAAATTTCTTATTTTCCGATGCAATACTGAGAAAAGATCCATTCTTTCCAGTTTTGTTTTACTGCAAAAAGGGATTCCAACTTTCCAATTATGTAACTACCAAAACATTAAGTTAACCACAATAATAGTGAAATCATATACTGTATAAGTTCAAAATCCGGACCTGTATATATCAAAGCTTAGCTCCCGGTAGAACAATGCTGGAAAGTCCTCTCGGATAGTTCGAATAGCGTAGCCCATGTTGAGATAGTAATCCTGCTTCTGCTCTTCCTCTTTGCTGGGCTTTGTCGAAGGAAATGCCGTGGCAGGCTCCGCCATGGCTGAGAAACTGTCGCACAGCCCCACATTAAACCCTAAATTCAGACGTCGAGCAGCCTCCTCCATATCCTTAACACTCGAAGAAATCCTAGCCCTGCCAATTTCCTTCCCATCGTTAGTAACTGCGACCTTGTGCAAATTTCTGAGTTTTAAAAACATCCCCGCGGGACGGCGGCCGACGGAGAACAAGGAGACTTCCGACGACGGTAACAGAACGGCCATTTGGTGCCGTCAAGATTTCGAATTTTCCGGCGATCAGGAGTGTGAGAAACCGGTGGGTGACATTCCGGAGCTTTCTGCGATCAAAGATGAAGACATTTGAGAGCGTAAACTCGAGGAACGAAGACTGAGGTTGTTGTTTGGTTGGTAAGGAAACGAAAATTCAACAATCTTATCGGAAAAGATGCGGAGGGAGGGAAATGAATGGCCGATTGGATAAGATTTTGTTTACAAAAGTATCATTATAGATTGATTAACGTGGAAATATGCATCTCTGTTTTGACAATTTGACGGATGAAAGTGAAATTTCTTGTACTACAAATGGTTCGGATAGGATAAGATCGCATGCATCTGTTGGGCCTTGGGCCTGTCGGATTCCAACTCGTTCCAAAAAATCCAATGTCAGAAGTGGGATTTGAACCCACGCCTTCTCACGAAGACCAGAACTTGAGTCTGGCGCCTTAGACCACTCGGCCATCCTGACTTGTGTTTATTATTTTCTAAACTTATCGATATATTTATGTCTGCAAAAGTGCACATTGTGTTCGAATCTTACAGCCCTGACACTTGTCTCAAAATGAGATCTTTAACGTACGTCACCACTGAATTTGTTTGCTTCCGAACAATCGAGCAGGAAAAAGGAACTGGGGGTAATAATCAGGGCGAATGACGACTGATGAAAAGGGAAATTCGGAGGGTTTGGAGAGTTTAAGTTTATAGTTAAGATAATAGATTTTATTTGAAACAGGTAAAAATAACATTTTTCATTATTGACGCATTTATTCAATAGCATAAATTAGATTAGTGCGTATTGAGATCTAGAGTTTTTGTTTGGAGATAACTATACACATGTTAGCTTAATCTTATTTACACTTTAGCATAAATTAGATTAGTGCGTATTGAGATCTAGAGTTTTTGTTTGGAGATAACTATACACATGTTAGCTTAATCTTATTTATACTTTATTCATGTGTAGGATCATATGGTTAGCGAAAGTATACGGGGCGATCAATTTGTACAATAAATCAGTCACACAATTAAAATAATAGATTAAACCTCATGGTGAACTACATTGACAACTTGAGAGGCATAAGTTAGAGCATTTACACCAATGTATTTGTTGTGGTTTTTGGAATAGTAAAAACTACGTGTGTAGTTTTTGCACATATAGGAGATGAATTTTTGGTATATTTTTCTCATGTAAGTGCAAAATTTTTGTAGGGTTCACGGATTGAGAAATAAAAGCAAACCATAATGCTTTTCTTCGCGTGTTGGAGACGCAGGCGCCCAGCTGAACACATACAATGCACACGCCCGTTGCGCGCTGGCGTGTCTGCTGGTCTAATTTTTTTTAGCGTCAAACTTCCTTATTTTCTTTTTTCTTTTTCCTTATTCTCTCTCTCTCCTCTCTCTCCTAATGGCACTTCTAAAACTATGTAAAGTGCATAGTTGATGATAATGCTCTTAAAATGTTGTCTAATGCAAGTGATCATCTTGGTCACACATTTTGGTTACACGTGATCAATAAAAAATGTTAAAATACTAACTTTTTAAAAATGTTTTTTAAACTTACTATTTGAATTATTGAGCTGGTTAGATATCTTATAACCCATCAAGTCTCAGGTAAAAATATTCACTTTTCACCAAAAAATAAAAAAAATCCCATGTTTGGTCACTCGTACCATTTTCTATTTTAAGAATATTACCTATATATGGCATTGAAACTTTTCCAGTAATTATTATGGCTATATTATATTGACTCTGTAACGGAAACCAAATTGGATGCTAATCAAATCTCCCTCGTCTTTGGACTTCGGCGAATGATTATCATCCCTGTCTGTCATTTTCCAGATTCTCGCACCAATTTTCTTCGTATTCCTCAAATGCATAGCCTTTTTTCAAAGCCGTCCTGTAAGAAAAACTGATTGTGTTGAGGTGAGCGGGACGATGCGGGGTTCCATTGCGAATTTGAAGAAGAATCTGAATAGAATCGCTCTTGATATTCACGACGACGATGACGATGATGCCGCCGCACTTTCACTGTATAGAAATTCAGGTGACAGAGCCCAAAATTCATCAGTAACGCCCGCCGATCGTAGGATTTCTCGAAATCTCTCTCCTTCCAAGTCGACCACGCATCGGCATTCGCCCATCGCCAATGGCTTCGATTCTTCATACGAGAACGAGGTACTAGAAGTTAGTTGGAGCATTGGAGAGTCATGGTTCACGTGTTTTTACTTATTGGATTGTTGTCATGGACGTTGTTGATGATGTGGTCTGCAAATTTGTTTGGAGCGTTGTCTTTTTTAGAAGGCGGACTTAATTACCTAAAGCATTCAGCTTATTCCATCATTCTCAACACAGTTCCAAAACCAGTAGAATCAAATTGTAAAAACAATGCTAGCTTTTCTAATCAGACTTCAGATACTAAGATATTACTATCAGTTAATGCATTTGGTTGGTGAAAGTTGCTTCTTGTAGCATGAATTCTCTCTGCTCTTCAGATACTGGTCTTTATGTGCTTTAGTCTGATGTTTTAATGCTCCAGTTATAGTGAAATATGGGGACCCTAGCTCACATCTTTTCATATTAGTTACTTTGTGCTTTTGAAGGCAAATATGAATGCTTGATACCGCTTACAGTTTCTCTTTATTTTTTTTGCTTTTGGGATGGGGAAAGCTGTCAAAACCTAATGCTTAACAAGAAATATTTATTTGCAAATTGAATATTTTATTGGGTTGATAGTTTAACTTGGAAATGGTGTAATTTTAATGGCAGAGGACTTTTCTTACTATCTTTTCTCCTTGCATTTGTGCTTATTTGCCAATTGGCTAAGCATTCTTTCACTCTCTATTGTAGATTTTAAAAAACAAAGCAGACATCAAAAGACTCCAACATTCTGAGGCTGAAGTTAAGGAATTGTCAGTTGACTATGATGCATTGTTAAAGGAGAAAGAGGTAATCGTCTCTCCGAACTTCATGTGAGAATGCACTTTGAAGGGTTTCATTTTCTAAAGGCAAATATTTTCTTCCTTCTCTTTTGACATTATTATCTTTCTCTTTATCGTCAAAAGTAATTTACTGCATTTTAAAACTTGGAGGTCTACACTTTCCACGATGAGATGTCAAGGTTGAATGAAGAAACTATATCATCGATACCAAATTTAGAAACAAGTATTGTGTTGAATGCATCAAGAAACGTTCTCAATGTATGCTTTTAGTTATTTTATTCTTCTCATTTTCTTTAATTAATTTGCTTTGTATGTACTTTGTTTAAATATTTCAATTTGGTTATCTAGCCATCCATTATCTATAACAACTATAGCGGCTTGCTATCACTTATCACCACCCTTCTGCCTTGATAATTTGTTAATGCTGGGCTGTTGTAGACTTGTAGTGTTCTATAATATGAATTTGCTAGCCTGATATGCTATTTGAATTTTGAAGTTATTTCCAAATACTGTGTTAGGAAATTTGCTGATGGTACATGCATTTGTACAGGAGAATAGTTGTCAATCTTCTGGTCAACAACATAAACCTATAGTGAAAAGTTACTCCATAGGAAGCCCTACGAACATTCTGGATTCTCCCGGTCATGATGTGATCAACAATGAAACTCTTTGGTGCAGTGAGAATGTAATAGCTACTTCCTATTCCTTAGTGTAGAATGAAGCTATGTTGTTTCTATTGTTTTCTATTCCTTATTACACAAATGTTTATCCTCAAGGAGTATGTCACTTGTCCTATTATAGTTAATTTGACAAGATACATTAATGATCTAGGAGCTAGTGGACTTTATGGAAGGGAAAAATAGATTGCTCGTTTCTACACAAGCAGTTTATGAGTTGCGATTACAAAAATTAACGATGGAGCTTGATAAAAAATGCAGAAAGCTGGCAATTCTTGAAAACAAATTACAAGGTATTTCCATACTGATTAACATTACTCCTGACATTTCATTGGTGTTTCTAGATACTATTTAACTTGGGTGATACTTTCATTCTTAGAGGAGCAAAAGCTGAATGCTTCTTTTGAACAGGAGCTGAACTCTTTAAAAGTTGGCAATGATAATGTAAGTTCTGACACGGTGCTTCGCATGATTGATGAATGTTGCTACTTTCTGACATTTAGATTTTTTTTTAACTTTTCCACACTTTCTTTCACTATGTTCCTGTTTCAGATGACTTTAGAGTTGAAAAGAATTCATGATGAGCCGAATCAGAAAACATCAGAAATCCAGCAGTTGCAAATGGAGCTTCACACAAGAGATAATGAAGAAACAAATGAACTGACGGCAACAAATTTGAGAAGAGTAATAGTGAGACTGCAGAATGAAAACAGCAATCTTAAGGTTAATGAAAACAGAATTTTATTTTTACTTTTTTTTGTGCTTTGGTGTTCATAAGTACTCTAAAATTGGTAAAATGCTTTATCACCAACCTTTTCTACATCCTCTCTTTGTTGCAGACTGAGAAAGAAAAATTGGAGGCTGCCTTGATAGCATCCCAACTTTCACCTGGCCAGACAAGTCTACCTGATGGTAATGAGGTTGGTTGCTCAAGCTTTAGATATAACCATAGTAAGATGACACAGAATCCCCACCCCCCAAAACACAATATTCTTTAACAATTTTATTATTGTCTAATGAAGCCTTCTTCAATCCAATTATGTAAATTTGCTTCTATCTAGACAAAGTCACCACCAGTATTTCCCAAGCAAGAAGAAATGGAGAAATCATTGCAAAAACTTGAAAATGATTTGAATGAAATGTGCAAAGAGAGGGACAAAGCACTGCAAGAACTTAATCGTCTTAAGCAGCACCTGCTAGAGAAGGTCATTTCTCCCTCTTCTTCTTTGTTTGCTGGGGGTGGGGGTTTTCAATTACATGGTATAAATTGACTTATCACCAGGCTTGTGTAGTAGCTGTGGCATATATTTTATTTACAAGCATTTTGATATCTTACCAAAAAATCTGATTAGACATTTACATGCCTGAAACTTTAGTACATCTTTCGCGATTATAGGACAACACTTCTCTCCTTGTATGAGTATCACTTTTTATCTCCATAAATCTGGTTTTCTTGGTGCTTTTAATTACTCCAAAGAGAAATGAAGATAGTTTTTATTGCTTTCATGTTTCCAGGAATCTGAAGAATCAGAGAAAATGGATGAGGATGGCAAGCTTATTGAACAACTACAACAAAATAATGAATACCTAAGAGCTCAAGTATTGCACTTAGAGACAGCTGTTAAGCAGTCAGCTACAAGTCAAGAAGAAGTTAAGAGTTCTATTGATAATGAATTGAAGAAGTCAAAGGAAACAATTGATGAGCTGAATGGAAAACTGGCAAGTCGTTTGAGTGTTATAGAAGCTAAGAACATTGAAATCCTTAACCTGCAAACTGCATTAGGACAGTACTATGCAGAACTTGAAGCTAAGGTAAATATGATTTTTATTTATTCCACTTTAGGTGACCAAGTTGAGTTTTGTGACATAGAGCAGGAGCTGGCCAAGAGTGATAGGGTTTAAGAGTGTAAGAATTTGTTATGATATATGCATTCAAACATTCTTAAATTCTCAAAAATGGTTGGGGTTTTACAGCATTGTTACTTTTCTGTACTCAGGAACGTCTTGGAGAAAAACTGACTACAGCGAAGGAAGAATTGACTAGAATTTCCGGGCTTTTGAAGGTCCATACCGTATCCCAATTGCTTCATTTTATTGCTTGTATTCATTTTTCTATAACAAAGAATTATGTACACCCTTTCTGTATGGTGATTTTCAAAAACCAGCTATGGACTACAGAACTTGTGCTTCTTGGAATTTGTGGTTAATTTGGGTTCTCTTTTCTGATACTTTGATCATGAGATTTCCAATGCTATTTATTTTCAGGATTCTCATCAACAGTCAGAAACATTGAAAAGGGAGAAGGTTGAAGTATTGGCTAAGCTTTCAGATGCGGAGAGGAGATTATCTGACAGGAAGAGCAGAGTGAAGAAGCTTGAGCATGACAATGATAAACTAAGCCGTGCTCTTGAGCAGAGCATGACCAGATTGAATAGGATGTCATTGGATTCAGACAATTATGTTGACAGGTTAGTTCTTTGAACTTCCTTAACGTTATTGCCTCTCTGACATGGTGCCACTGAATCTTCAATTAATTACAGTTGAGTTCAGTTAGTAATTATACAACTACGTTTTGCTAGTTTCTCCAATATTGTTTTTCAATTTCAGCATCTCCGTTTTACTCAATGCAGGCGAATTGTGATCAAGTTATTGGTGACTTACTTCCAGCGAAACAACAGCAAAGAGGTATGGGCATTTAAACGAGTATCAGTGTTCCCATTAACTGTTTGCGGAATATGCCATAGCCAATGCACGTTTTTTACAATGCACGTGCTACATTGTCTTAGGTTCTGGATCTTTTGGCCCGCATGCTTGGATTTTCTGATGAAGAGAAGCAAATAATAGGGATTGCTCAACAAGGATCAGGTAAAGGCGTTATTCGGGGGGTCTTGGGTCTCCCTGGCAGATTAGTAGGAGGCATCTTTGGCGGAGGCTCAACCACTTCTAATATGACTCCCAATACTCAGGTGCATACATGTCTGATTTTCATTTTCAAGACGCAACATCTATTTAAACTGATAGTGTGATGACACACATTTATATATCATATGCTCAACAAGCACTGTATGACTTTCTCTATCCAGTCATTTGTAGATCTGTGGGTTGATTTTCTTCTTAAAGAGACTGAAGAAAGAGAGAGAAGGGAGGCAGCTGAAGAATACAAGGGAGATGAACAAGGTGAGGATGTTTCTGCTACCATGGAACATAGACCAAATACTTCCGCTACGTCCTTATCTTCATTACAAATAGATCCTCCGGAACACTCGGATTCAGAGTTCTCAACTGTACCTCTCACCTCTCCTGCCACATTTTCTAGACTGCCAAGCCATTGACCAAAATTTTTATGTTTTCTTTTCTCTTTTTTGGATCGACATAGTAATATGCAAGTCTTTTTTGTTCTACTTTCCTTCTGAATGAGAACCATGCCACTGTGTTGGTGGGTAAGTTCTGTTCAGCACAACTCTGAGCTCTGAAGTGTTCGGAGTTCGGACAGCAGCATCAAGTTGCAGATATTCAGAGTGAACAAAGCATTTACAACAGAATGACGAAGATTATATGTATATTGGCAAAACACCTACTTTTAATAAGCACTGAAACGGTACTAGTACAAACGCTGAAGCTAATTCAGCAATCATCCAATTCCATCCATATCAAGAACCCAAAAACAAGTCAAGTCATGGAATCATACACAAATACAATAAAACTCCAACACAGCTTTCAAAGCCCACAGCCATTGCGATGTCATCTGCTCACGCCATCTTCTTGTCCTTCAATGGCCCTCGAGGAATTTTACTCAAAACTTTTGCATCAAACACTGCATATTGCTTCTTGATCTCCACCATTGCTTTCTCGGCAATTGGATCAATTTTGTCCTCATACTTCTCATAAATGACTGGAACAGTATGCAGTAGTACAAATACTGTTTCATTGAAAGGGAAGTCATTAGTACATGCTCAATAATATATGCCATAAATTCAAGATAATTTAGCACAATTGGTTGCCCTTACTTATGTAGAACAACGTCAAAAAATTGCACCAACTGCCAACAATTGAGAGGACCCATAGACCAGCAATTACCTAAAGAAAATGGAAGAAAATGTGAGATAGAAGGTTATTACCAATTGAAGAAATGAAAATAACAATTCAACAAGTTAACCACTGAATGAGAAAACTAGCACAACAGTCAGATATTCCACATCACAATCTATTAAAGCATTATCAGCAAAGTGCTGTTTGAAATTCTTAAAAATGCATTTTAAATTTTTGAAATTGGCTTTCTTTTATATTCTGAATCAGTGTTCATTGATATCCTAAACATTGTTGCTAAATGGACAGTACAACCAAAGCTAATGAGATAAAATCATTTTAGTTTTGTACCACCCTGCAGCAGGTAGGAAAGTAAGAAAGCCCAAGCGGACACAAAACAGCAATTTAGGTATCAGGATTACAGAGACTTACAGCAAGAAACATCTTGAGATCTCTTCCAGATGCAATTTCTCTCAGCAAAGCCAAACCACGGTGGATTTCAATTCTCAGGGCAGCAGCAACCTGAAGGAAGGGATCCTCTGGAATGTGAACTTCTGGGATGCGGGGAGGAGACCTGTCAAAATAATCATCTACATATTTAGTATAGAGTGAAGTCCACCTAATTTTGAATCATGTAAAGAAGTAGAGGCCCACTTGTTGATGAAGGATGATGCATTGGACCACAAGAATGAGATTGCAAGAGCAATTATCAAAACATGGCAGACTAGTGTCAGTAGGTGGTACTCGAGCAATTCAAACAGAACCCAGACAGCAGTAGCTCCACCAAGCACTCCACCAGATATCTTCTTGTTCCTCCACAAAAACACATCAGCAGCTGCACCAATTAGGCAGGAAAACCAGCTCAGAATTTGAATGAATAGCAAACAATTCAATCATATCTGTATGCCATTTCCAAAAACTCAAACTTCCAACAGTTCGCATTCAATAATACATCCATTAGGAACCAAAAACAGAAAATTAATCAGTCTCACAAACTTCAATGACATTCTTACCTGAGCCAAGGGAATAGATACATTTTTTTAGCAATTAGAGCATGGTTTTCTCTTCTCATCAGTCATCAACAGTTAGACAGCTATACAATCACATTTGCAAATCTACCTAACTCTTGAATTCAGATACTCTAGAGCTCTGAGCTTTGCACAACTTCAAGGCAGGTAGTACACATAAAGAAACTAAAACATTCCATAAAGCAGCAAAGTTACAAGCAGAGCTCAAGAAAGCAATCACGTCAAATAGAACTGCAAGCCACTACTCAAGCAATATAAAATAGGTACAGATCTAGCTACATAGTTTAAGAATCTTAAAACCCTAAACCCCTAAACCACTCGATCTCATCTTACACCACCATACCGAGATTAGATTTGAAAAACACCTACTGAAGTACTGAACACTGCAAATATAACAACATATAAATATAATATTCAAATTAATCGTAGCAGAAAAGACGGATCAGACGATTGTTAAACCCTCTAAATCCCTAATATAAGTTATCAACTAGCAACAAATTCATAAAAAATCAAAATTAAAACTATGCAAAATAGAGTGTATATGTATGCATATAAACAGTGCGAGTCGGTGTCGGTATAAACATACGTTTGCCTCCACCGAAAACCTTGTGCACAGGTTTTTCTCGGCCGAAAAGCCGCCAAATCTTAGCCTTTACGGACGACGGCGACACATCAGCCTTCGGATGCTCTTTCTCAGATTCAGAATCAGAGGAAGACGAGCTGTCAGCCCGGTGAATCTTCTCAGCTATCTTCTCCATCAAGGATTCTTCGTGATGATCCGGATGTTCCGCGTGCTCCGCCATTTCCGATTAGGAGCTCCGATCCAATTTGCAAAAAGCACCCGAAATTCGATTGAGAAACTGGATGCAACGGAGAGTGTAAATTGATCTCCCGAATATAAGCTCGCTTTGTATATATACTGCGGGATGAATCGGACGATTCAAACCTGCGGGCGGGTTCGGGTCACACCGCTTTTCTTAAATTACCTGTCAATAGGTTGTACATTTCCTATATTTTTGAAATTTCTTAACGAAGGAGTTTACACTTTTCTTAAGCATTAATCTAATGAACTTTTTTCTTACTCATCAAGAATTGTTTTTATATTCATATTTGTTATAACAACAATGTCAACTTTTAATCTTTCCTTTGATTCCGTCCTCATACAATTGTTAATAAACTAATAAGTTCATATAACATTTTTAATTACTAATAAGTGGATTGTCTTTTTTTTTTTTTTTAAATACAAGTGGATTGTTAATATAATTATAAAATCAAACTTATTTTGAAATGAGAGTGAGTGTAATATAATTTTTATACTTAACAAATTTTGAATTTAATTTTTATTAATATTAAAACTTTTCACATAAAATATATAATGACTTAATACTCAAAATTGTCATCGACTATAGTGTTTTTTCTCAATTTTGTCCTAAACAACTTTGGTGACTTAATATAGTCCCAGACTTTTGTGTTTCGCTCAATTTAGTCCTCTGTTTGTTATTCCGTCAAATTGGTGTTAAATAAAGGAACAATTCAATAATATCAATATTGGTCTCTCTTTACTTTCAACCTGCGAAGTGAGAAATCTCTCTTTCTTACACGAATTACACCCAGAGTTACTCTCAGACCTACGAATCAAATTTTATGTGCGCCCTTTAGAAGTGATTCTGGGAGTAATTCGTAAAAAAAAAGAGGGATTTCGCACTTCACATGTCTATGAATAAAGAGATGCCAATATTAAAATTACTGAATTGTCTATTTATTTAACAACAAATGGACGGAATAACAAATGTGGGACTAAATTGAGCAAAAATACAAAAGTCTGGGACGAAATTGAGTAAAAACACAAAACTCTAGGACTACATTAAGTCACCAAAGTCGTTTAGGACAAAATTGAGAAAAACCACTATAGTAGAAGATGATTTTGGGTATTAACTCAATATATAATTTATGAATTATTATACAGGAGTTTGAATTAAAAAAGAATTCTGGTTAAGTGAGAATATTAAATATGGGAGTAGGAAGTATTTGGAAGGAGAAACTAATGTTTGCACTTTCACGACAAGAATTTAGGGATCAGACTCAAAGTGAACAGATACATTGTGTGCATTGACATTTGATTGTATCTATGAGTTATTGAATCACTGTAATTTGCATCTTTTTAAATGTCTTGTGGGTTTGGACATGGAAGTCCTTGTGATTGTGATTCAAAATCTATATATCTATATATCTATATATCTATATATCTATATATATATATAAAAGTAAAATCCTCCTAGCCAAATTTTCCCCCCAAAACTTAGAGGCATTTTTGTAATATCAAATATTTAGACAAATATGGCATTTTAATAATATTAAAGATTTTACCTTTCTTGAGATCTCTTACCATTTTATAATTTCAATACTAAACCCTTTTGATCTCATCCATTGTGTATAAATACACCTTATATGACCATACACAACCCCAACTAAGGTTAATTATTTTATTGATTTTTGCTAATCATCCTGTGATCTTCCACAGTTGAGGTTGATACGTGATTTGCACTGGTGAGGTTTTCATTATCTTAGTTTCTTTAATTTTTTTTTCTTTTTGGGTTTTGTTTTGTTTTTATTCTTTTGTATTTTCTGATTTTTAAACAACAAAATTGGTTCGTAAGAAAAAATGTTGATATATTCTTTTCTTTTTTTTGTCTATTTTTGTAGAGAAGATACGGATCTAGAAAGATTGATCGGGAAGCAATAGACTTCTAATCATCCTGTGATCTTCCACAGTTGAGGTTGATACGTGATTTGCACTGGTGAGGTTTTCATCATCTTAGTTTCTTTTATTTTTTCTTCTTTTTGGGTTTTGTTTTGTTTTTATTTTTTTGTATTTTTTGATTTTTAAACAACAAAAGTGGTTCGTAAGAAAAAATGTTGATATATTCTTTTTTTTTTTGGTCTATTTTTGTGGAGAAGATACTATACGGATCTAGAAAGATTGACCGGGAAGCAATAGACTTCTAATCATCATGTGATCTTCCACAGTTGAGGTTGATACGTGATTTACATTGGTGAGGTTTTCATCATCTTAGTTTCTTTTATTTTTTTTCTTCTTTTTGGGTTTTGTTTTGTTTTTATTTTTTTGTATTTTATGGTTTTTAAACAACAAAAGTGGTTCATAAGAAAAAATGTTGATATATATATATATATATATATATATATATATATATATATATATATATATATATATATATATATATATATATTTTTTTTTTTTTTTTTTTTTGTCTTTTTTTTTTTGTGGAGAAGATACAGATCTAGAAAGATTGATCGGGAAGCAAAAGAGTTCCTTGCTCATCAAGATGATAAAGTTTTGTGATCGAGGGACGAATTATGTGTATATGTAAATATAT